AGTGATTGCCAGTAACACACTGATCCAGTCACACACATTACAGTCTAGGTACAGCACAAGTTACTCAGAAAGCCCTTTCCAAAGTGAGGAATTGTAAATACTTTTCTGCGTCCCGGGAACTGTCACCGATTCCTCCAAGTGTATTGTACAACCACTGCACGCGTTCTTGCAAACATTCCAAAGTGACTTTAGTTCAGAAAAATGTCGTACTCGGCCTGTGGTAATATTTTGGTGGAAATTACCGCACCGTCCCAAAGGCCAAAAAAAAAAATGTCTTCAATGTGAATGTGTACTCAACTTGTCCTTGTACTGGTGTGTTGCTATGTACTTTGTCAGGCCAGCAGGTACATGGCCCGAGCACACACTTTACTCATGAATAGACTGCTGTTGGAGCAAGGTTGTCTGAGGTTATGTACACAGGCACATGAGCAAACATGAGAAGGTTTCTCATGGATAGGTTTGGGCAGCCGAAATGTGCAACATTTATATGTATGTAAGCATATTGGACAGCATATTTACTGAACTTTCATTGCAGTCAGTGCCTGTGATGAAATTGTTAGATAATATTTTTGAGGAATTTTAAAGTAGACTAAATTGTAAGTGTCTACTTATTAATTACTGATACTTTCTTGTTCGTGTAATTGGAGACACTGGAGAAGTGTTGAGAATTCAAATCAGTTGACTCCTGGTTCTTTTCATTGAAACAGTTTTTCATTTTGCCACAAACTATTGAAGGAAACCAAGCTGTCAGTCTGCATGCAGTTTGTGGGTTGTCCTTGGTAGTCCCCTGACTCCTGTTTAAAACATATCTGTGACAAACAATGCAGCAATTTGATGTCTGTTGATTGAACCAGACTACAGTGTATTCACATCCCTGGAAGTCACAAGGTGTACGTGACTATCCAAATGTCAGCTGATAAAAATCAAGAAACCCAACCTCCTTTGTTGTCTTGATTTAAATCCACCCGAAAAAAAAGAAACACTCTCATTTTTTTTTTTAAAAATAGCCACTGTGTATATCGGGTTGCGCTTGGTGGAACTAGAAATAGAAGGCAGGTGAACGGTCCATTAGTTGAGATCAAACGCCCCAGCACCTGGGCTGGGCCCTGCATGGGGTCTCCGAGCTTGGGCCACGGGTGTCTCCTTACGTAGGTTATAAATGAGGAGAGGGAACGGCTGGACTTTGGAGGAACTCGAGCATGAAGGATTTGGAATGAAGTAATGTATATCACCCTTTGCTCTGCCCAAAAAAGTGGGGGGAAGGTTTCTGGGCTGTTTTTTTTTTTCAGAAACTACTTTTACTACTGTACATGTTCCCCAATATTAAGTGTCTGGTGTTAAAAACAAGTCTTTTTCACGCCTGATTTGATTTTGGTTTATTGAAACAAATGCTCAGTAAACAATATTGTGAAGTGGCACCGTCTGTTTCCATTGATGCAAGTGTAGCATACAATATGAGGAGCTGTTTGCACCCTCCCCCCCGAACCAATATGAATTAGGTCTTAAAAGTTATTGTTTCTAGCAGTGTCCTGTTTACCAATCCCCACTGCCTAATCACATTTACCGGTAGACATTAATGGAATGTAATGGAAAGATTTTTAAGCATTCCATTTTAAGCTTAACTACACTACATGTGATGTTTCCTAGTAGCACACAACTTTCCGCTCCGCATTTACATGTAGACTTATATCTACCAGTACATACACTTGGTTTTAGCTAAGCTTAGTTACAAATTTTTGTAAGAGATGTGGAAAGTACACCCTTACTTAGTTGCCAAGTTACCAAGTTTACAATAAGTATGTGCACACATTGACAGATATCGGTGCTTGTTAATTTTCATGTTTTTGAAGGGTCATCTTATTCATGAATGGATGCATCATGCAGATGTCTATGTATATACGCAGTTTAATTTTAGGGCAATCCTCAAGTCCGTTTTTTCATGAAAGTCAAAGTAAATTATGTGCATATGTTTGCCAGTTTTCTTAGAAATGTCTGACACATTGAGCAAATGGTTTGGAACTATGACAAGGTCTTAAAATATCGTTCAGCCTGGACAAGTACATGTAAAATGAGATTAATGTGAAATTTGTTGAGATTTACTCAATGAAATTTATTCTCTGGAATTTTTTTGATATTCATAAAGAAGTCGGCATGCATTGATAGTGAAAATATGTTGTCATTAACTGTTGGACTCCACAAAAATATTTGCACAGTTCTTGATAAGGGTTATGTAGAGCAGTGCATGTTGATTTTGGAGGTGGATTACCAGTTACGTTCTACCAGTCTCTCCCAGTTGCATGCCTGCATGCATATTATGCTTGCATGGCCATCTAATCAATTTTTTGTTATATGGCAAATATTGACCGGGTTTATACCAGCGTTGGGACTTTGCGAGTGTTTACCGTAGCTTTTCGTGACTGGTTGGCCGCAGCATTCCTCCGCATGTTATCTTGTCTGCTGTCTATTCTCCTTGGGCGAGGAATGCCCATTATTTTGTTTTTTCCGAATATCGAGTGTTTTGGTTTGCTTGAGAAGTTAGTTGTTTTCCCAGTAAGGCATTTGTTGTGTTGAGAATGCTCTTCAGGAATTCAGGGATGTGTTGTTGAGGAGGTTGTCACCTCGTCATCCCTCGCCTTTACAAAGAAAAGAGGAACAGAATTGTTACACAGCATAGGCCTATTGTAACCTAATACTATTCTTAGAAATGGAATAAATATTGGAGTTGAAGGGAAAAGGAAGGACTTGTTCTCAACCCAGATGTACAGACCGAGCCCTAGTTCTTTCTGCATGTTTTACCAGGATCTTTACTGAATCTTCCAAAATCATCCACTTTGTAGGAATTGAAGGACAGTTTTAGTGTCTGTAAACTTTCAATGGGCGTCAAATCCCTGTGTTTCCAAAGTAACAGTGGTAGGGCTTAACCTTCCCTATTCCTGAAAATCTTCTGCATTTCCCATTGAATTTTGTGTGAGGCCATACCTGTTGATGTTTGGGAGTATTCTGCGATTTCCGGAAGTATCGTTTCCAAAGCACGTAACAGGAGGTCACTCAATTTGAATATGGGATCTTCCAAAGAGCCTTTTTTACGTTTATTTCAATAAATTTTTTTTTTTTAATTGGGAGGGGGGCAGTTTCTTAGGGGCAGGGGGGACGATCTCCGACGATTGGTTTTTTGGTGGCCTGGTCTGGGACAGTGAGGGCAGACTCAAAATAGGGAGGATAATTTACATTTAAAAAAAAAAAAAAGAAATACGATTTACTACATTCAGTTTGATCAGCCATCCATCCAGGTTTGAACGTTGTCATTGGGTTTTTATCTCTGTTGTTGAGATCCATGGTCCGAGCTGCATCCTTTTGCTAAACCAGTGAAGTTTTCCCCCCCCCCGCCTCCCAAGTGGATATGTTCATTGATGAAGGTGGAACTGCATCATTGAATTTGACAGTGTACGGTGTGGTCAATCGCCTCTTTTGGTACTCCTGGGTAAATTTACATGAAGGTTTGACCGGTTGGCATGCAGTTATTCAGGCAGAAAAATCACCTGAGTGTGTGCCATCTGCAGGTATATACCTGTATGTACCCGATACAATAGACTCATGCTCAATTCTGCATTCATTTGAAAAATTTTACCAAAGTTCCGCCATTGGCACACTGTACTTTCTTCTTTCCCTTCTAGTTTCCTCTTATCAAGGTTTCGGGGCAGCAAAAGGAAGCAATTTGATGTACAGGTGAATTCCCCTTTTCATTTCACTGCTCAAGATTATATGCAGCGTTTTAACAAATATCATGACTGGATTCCAACCTGGTCATTGTTGCCCCGAATGTGTGCCATGTGCGCTGAAGTGGCCCGTTGAATGTGAACACGGCCCGCTGCAAATTCTCACGGCTTGCCCTCGACAATAGGCACTAAGCATCACACAGCAAGAGGTTTTGTTCAGCTTGTGAAAGGGAGGACTTGGAAATAAGACAACATCAAGCCCAGGAGTGAGCATGGGTGCTTGTTCTCAGCACTTGCCATAAGAATGATCTCAAGATAAAATTTAGGGGAGAGAGGAGGGGATGTCTCCTTGGAACTCTCAGCAGCTTAGATTTGTACTTCTTGGGTCCCCCAATTTTGTTTCATTGGAGTTGCACACTCAGGCTTATAAGTGCAATGCACTTTGTCACGGCATCTTTGGAGAGACGTTGGAGAAGATTTGTCCAATAGTCCCCTCTTGTGGAGGGGCCGAGTGGTCATCTCTAAACACAGTCTCTAAAGCAGGCACTTGTACCAATGGGGTGCACCAAGCATTGCTGACCTCCATCATGACGAAGCAGGATCAAAATTTCATCGTGGGTTGCAAGCTTGAACCCCCCACCACCACCACCCTTGAGATCCTCAAGCAATATCTTAAGGAGACAGCTCCTCACGCACAGAGTGGCTTGGAATGTTGATGCGGGGTACTCTCCAAAAGTGTTCAAAGCTTAACCAGATTGGAGGTCCTTCATCGAAATCCTCGCCTACTTGACCAAGTCCCCCCAACGAACATCTCTGACACGTCATTGATGGCTGGTCTGCATGTCTAACCTTCTTAAGTCCCTATACTTTTTCCCCCGTTGTGGCTAGCAATAGTTTGCAAGCCGACAGCTCCTGGCACAAAGCGTAATACTTTGAGAAGTGTGGCTGTGTGTTTTAGGCTGTGCTCTCTTTGCAAAGCAAGCAGCGCAAGGGAACGTCAAAGAACTCAAGATGAGTGTGTGCAGAGCACTCGGGTCAATCGGTCACCTCCCTTTGCGGTCAGTCCCCCTCCCTCCCCGCCTTTGTCCTCCTCCCTTGAGCCAATGACCGACCCATTGTCCGGCCTTTAAGTGCATTTAAAAGCTTGTCAAATTTGCTCTCAGTTTGTGTGGCTTATGGCTCACTGAGAAGAGATAGAAAAGAAATGTCACAGTTGATTCATTCCCTCAGAGGTAACTAGTTCCACCTTTGTTTCACTTCATAATTCCACATGAAGCAGACCATCTTATACAAGAAAAAACAAAAACAAAAAAACTGCCCAATTGGTACATGAATGACTTTACCCTGGAGGTCAACTTCAAGGAAAAGTGATTTGTGCAGCCGCTGCCAGTTAGTGAACTCATCAAAAGTTAATAAACTTGCAATCTATCCAGTGGGTCCATGATGACTTTGGTAAATGTTTACCAACTTGGGTAACCCTGACAGCCTGCCCACGCCTGATTTATCCAGAGTTTTGAGGAATGCGTGGTCAGATGTGTTTACCCCCAAATCAGAAATTACACATGCACTCGTAAAAAGGACAAGTTATGCGAAAACAAGTTTGAATGACAGTTTGATTCAATAGACACATTGCAAACACCTATCTCCCCACCCTGCCACAGCACTCACTCGCACACACACCAGTTTGTAGCCCTGTGTGTACCGTTGGGGGGGGGGCCTATCACTCAAACAGTAGGTTGTGAACCCAGTTTTATTTGTTTGCTCTTTTCTTGGTAATGGCACCGGGACTATGATACTTTAACAACGCCTATCAGGAAATGTTGTCTGTGGCTGACAGTCCACTTCTCAAAATTACAAAACCTCACAGGGGGCTTTGGTACGGGTCATAGAGCTAGTTAACTGCGGTCAAGTGGGGTCCAGAACAAGGCCAGCTGACCTGTCACAAAAAAGGTCTCAGTCCTCAGGCCGGACGTTGAGTTCTTTGGAGATCCCCCACAGATGGAAGAGACTTGACACGGAATCCACAATGGGTGTTGTGTGCACAGTCCCTCTCCCCAAGTTCAGAAGCAGGTAGGTCCTTGTTCCATGAATAGAATCCCTGGGTTGTAGTGTTAAATCTGGTCCTTCCTACTAGTACCTGTGGGCCAATGCTTGTTATAACTGGATGAGCCACGGGATTAAGAAAGCCAAATACACCTAAGCTGAGCTGGGTTTAGCCGGTATGTCATGTACGTGTATGTGGAGGTCCTGCTCTGTGAATAGCCTTGGGGTCAGCAGTGTTCCAATGTTATCTGGGTGGCAAGTACATGTATTTCTTGGCTGGAGCCTGGTTCAAGTTGTGTCCAGAGTTCTTCTGTTTTGAGCTGCCTGTTTCAAAGAGTTGCTGGAGATAAAATTTGCTCAGCTGAGAAAAATACTTTCTTAGCAGAAAAAGAAAGGTCATAAATCAGTTACATGTGACTAGATTTCAGCTTATTTTTTTTCTCTGCACAAAAGCCTTGCTGAATTACTTGAGCAACTCTATGAAATAAAATCCTGATGTGAACTTCAAGGCTGTATGTACATGTACATGCCTATATCAACTTCAGTAATGTTTAAATCAGATAGGTGTGCAAAGATGTATTCCTTGATCTGATGTTGGAAACAGTCCATTGGATGAGGAATGAATGGAATTGAGCATAGTGCAGATGCTTCATTTAGCACCCCATCTACATGTGCATCCAGCAAGTTACATGTACGTATCTCTGAAGTGAAGGAAACCAATTTTCACCCTTTTATCTCCTAACGTTTTGCAAACTTGGTGAGGAAATGAGTAATGTACAAGTTGAGCAGGGTACAGTCGGATGGGGACCTGGCAACTTGTGTGCACCAGTGTACTGGATCAGTAAATTAGATTTCAAGTCATAAATTGTCTGAGGATGGGCCTCCTGTGATTCATTGACTGCCCTTCCCCCCATTGAGGAAGTGGACCTATTGCATAGCGCCCCCCCCTCCCTTCCATTCCCCAGTAGTGTAACCGATCGCAGTGACCGTCAGGCATGGATTCATTATATTTCTTCTTTGAAACTATCCCTTTCCCATTCCCAACGGAACATCTGTTAAGAGTGGCCATTTTCTTTTCCTACCTCCACGCTGCGACCAAGTTCTGTTTTTTACTGGAGTGTTCTGCAGAGGTAAGGTAAGAGGTGTTGTCAGACGTTTTGCAACCGTCTTGGGTGGGTTTTCTGCGGCAGGCTGTGTGGTTAAAATGCAGAATAAAAACAAAAGCCAGGCCAGCTTCAAACAAGTTTGCACTTCAGGGTTTTTTTTTCACAGAGAATCTCAGTTTTATAGAGCACTGAAGTGTGATGTCATTAACCAGAAGTTGTAGTGCAAACAAATGGAGTCACGCATGTGTTGCTTCACACGCTGGCTTTCACACTACCTTTTACATACACACAATGCATATGACTTATTCACTTCAGTACTCTGTAATATAGTACATGTGCTAGGTTGCTGTTTTGGAAGCTTTTTGATGATATTCATCTTTGTTTTTACAGTAAAACCTCTTTGCTTTGTGGGAAGAAATCAGTTCAACAAACCTGCATCAGTCAGACAGAAAAAACTGATCAAATCTTTGCAAGCCAATAAACTAAACACATGAATGTTGGTCGCAGTGATCTCGTAGACGCACATGAATCCTGATACTGCCTTCCACTAAAGTCCAACGAATAACAGACCGGAGAAGTGAATGCAATTTTGTCAGGATAATTATTGTGGCTGCTAAAGCAATATAGCCGGATGTTAAAAAATATCGTCAAACACATTGGTACAAATCAACTGTTTCGTTCCTGCAAGGCGTTAATAAAGTTACCCAGATATGCATACATGTATATGTATAGTCCTGGATGTATTTTAAGATCAGGTTTACTTCACACAAAGTGCAGTTTAGGTAATATTAGTCCCTGCGAAAGGACATTCAACACGTGGCCAGTACATGTGCATGTATGTGTACACAAAAGAACTGTGCAGATCTGTATTTCTGTGTATCGATCTGTTGGTCAACATTTCACAGCATGTTGGGGTCGTTTCATTTGCATATCGGGATTGCATTGTGGGCCGCCCTACATCCTGTGTTTTGCAAGGCCGGCCGCCACAAAGGAGACAAAATGTGCGACGCAGGGGGCCTGCCTGTGTTTATTCTTCTCCGTGCTCACTGGCATTTGGATTTTGCATTCAAGCCACCATGATGGCAATTCACCGACATTCTTGAAGAGCTGTAGTCTTTTAATCCTTTTGAGGATCAATACTCCCCTTTTATTTCTTCTTTTTCTAAATTTTCTCTCCTGTAGAGTCCTTTTGTTTCCAATTGTCGCACAGGCTCCTGAGCTGTTCTCCCTAACCACACTTGCTGTCACTCTAGAGGCTCCCCCCTTGTGAAAGGCATATTTTGATTGGCTAATGTGTGCCGACAATAGCAAGCAAGGGCCCACATTGTTGCTGTGCCATCGAGCGTGCACGGCGGGGTTTAGAGGGCTGAGTGTGTGAGTATGAATCGGGTCTGTACCATGAACCCTCCCATCATACCCGGACAGCGCTTAATCATATGTACACATTGGGCACAATCATTGGACACCGCCACTCAGCACAGTCTGTGTCTTCCATTGTCAGACCTCTCTTGCCCATTGTACGCTGCCGGCCCGTGCCTCCGCGACGGAACCAGTCAGTTTCAAAATTGAAACTTCCACCAGCAAAGAACTGTGATCGGCGGTCTGGCACAACATTGGTGCAGTTGTGGGAACCAGAACAGCCAACTGACCTGATTTGGATGATTAAGCAAATAAGCTATGGAAGAAAGCATCGTTGTTGGTGTAATATTCGTTTCTAATGTGGATAATAGTCGGAAGTCGTTATTCCCCCGTCGTCAAGTGGATTGTATAGAGCTATAATTTACAGTCGTACATGTATCTCAAAGGTAAGAGATGGAGTTACTGCATTAAGCTAAATGTACATGTTGGTTTCCCATTAAATTGTCTCATCCCATGTAAAAGTGGCAGGCTGCCTCTCTCTGATGTTGGAAGTTTCATTTTTTGAACTTACTGAATTGTTTATGAATAGCGTTTCTTTTGTGAGCCTACATCCAGCGAGTGGCATGTAGTACATGTACTTACAAAAAAATTGGGACGTCATGGTCAAACCTTCAGTACAGTGACTGAGCTGAACAGACGTGAACTGTAGGATATTTTGTATATCCAACAAAGGATTTGAAGTGCATACTTAGCACAAAATCCATTCTTTCTGATACTGTTCAACCATGCTGAGGTAACAGATGTTTTAATGTTGCTTCAATTTTTTTTTTATACCGTACTGTATTTACACATCATAAATACGAGTCAATCAATACACGCATTTCCGGCCTTGCTTTGCCTGCAGCGATAAGAACAATTCACCGGCAGTTTCAACTGAAGTGGTAACAAAAAGATACTGTTACCATGTGGTTGGAAACCCCAGGCTGTAGTTGTGCAGGTATTTGTAGGAAAGTATTTCAGTCACTACTAGAAGAGATTTTGTTTCTTTATTATGGTAAAGCCAATTTTTGGCCAAGAGTTCTTGTGACTTTCAAGTCACGTTAGAGTTTCAGATTGGAAAAATATTTTTTTGAGCATTGTTTTGCTTAATTTCTTCACACCTTGAATAGCCACATCGTTGTGTAACATGCATAACATGCTCCCCCCCTGAAGGCATTGTCCTCTTCAATATGCTGGAAATTGTTCTGGAGAAGTTTGAATTGCACATATCATAAACTACACGCACTGAAATAAGGCTAACTGATGTATACCGATTCCTCCAAGAGTTATGGCGACATAGGTCAAAAAGAATGGTTTGATGCTTGATTAGAACAGTTACTGCAAGTTGTTAAGAACAATTGGATTAAGGCTTGGAATGTGTTCAGCAATGGATAGGCATGGTGCCATTGCACTACAGGATTTACGACTGCCAAAATCTGGATGTTGAAGTGTTTTAGGGGGTTAATGCTCGGGATGCTGCTTGGAGATGGATGTGAAGGTGTGAAGGCACTTTGGTTGGGTCCGTCTGGAGCTGCAGTCTTGAAAAATGTTGACCTTTCATGTTGGCACCCAATGCCACCATTGTCTTTCTGTCTGTGTCATCATGTGTGGTGCAGGCAGCCTTTGTGGGGTTACACCCTTGATCAAACAATGGGTTCCTAAGACTCAGAGAATGCTTGGTATGGTTTCAACAGTTACCTGTCCGTCTCCGGGATTGTTTTTTCAATATATTTTTGGAACCTTTGATCTCTTTTGAACGACGTGGGCCCGACTTTGAATCACGTGGGTGGGGAACAATAGTCAACACAAACAGTTTTGACAAGATGGATGCTCGTGGATCCTGGAGTGGTTTGGTGAATTATTCACCTTGTTTGAATCTCTGGAAAGAAAGGAATAGAAATGAATTGCAGTTTTGTTTTGTTTAGAGATTGTCCTATTGACGCAGTCGTTGACTTTTTGTCGGCCGGCCGGCATTGTTTGGGAAGGTTGAGTTGGCCGTTGTTGAGTGTGTCAAGCTCAAATGCCATTGCACAGGTATGAATCAGCTGCATTTGCATCTATGAATAGCCAGTGATCGTGATTGATCAACCGGAAGGGTGCCTGAATCAGCCAGGCAGAAGGAACAACTGCCAGAGCCCTTTTTTTGGTTGGAGGAGGAAAACTTGGTGGGAAATTTTTCAGAGTGAGTTGTTGGAAAAGTTCACACCCTGGTATATCCCCCTCCCCACACCGGGGCCCATTTGTATTGTGGCATTGATGAGGAAATAACTTGCAAAAATGCCTCAAGAATGTGGGATTTTTTCCACCACATTGTGAGCGCTCCTGGATTTTGAAATGGCACTGAAAGCTTTTGTCAACTTAAAGGCTGTATTTGGGTTATTAGTCACTGGTTTGTTATCAGTTGAAAAATAATGATGACGCGGTACACCTTGTCATGTTACCCCCGTCTGGCATTGTGTGACATATGGAAGAAAAATTCCTGAATCTGCTTGTTTTGAAATCGTAAGGCAAATGAAAAGAGTATTAAAACTCTCCCGCAGGACCTGTGCAGTTTTCTGATCCAGATCAGAGCCACTGTATCTTCACTAGAAGCGAGAGGGAGAGAGTTCAACACAGGTACATGTACATATGTAAAAGTGTGAAAGGATGGCCAGAAGGATACTTGAGGTTGTACTTTTATCCACAGGTCAAGGTCTTGCAATTTTTTCTTGGACTCAACCCCATTGCAAATTTAGGTACATGCACCAGTATGGGTACAGTATGTGTACAGCATGTATACATGTACATGTACATCATGTATGTTGGCTGTCCTTAAAGCTACATGTAGGTTAGTTGGAGTTATGCAAGTGCACCTGCATACTTTCTTTCTGTGATCTCACTGTGATTTAGTAATCTACAGAGGAAGGTATTCTCAGAAATCCTTCAAAATCCACTGGGAGATTTGGGAGGATTTTAGGGGCTTAAGGATGGTACAGCATGGACACTGAAGCCCCCCAGAAGTTAACAAGTTAATACAAAGAACATGCCATCGGTGGTTTCCCCCGCACAGTTACAAAACAGAAGTGCCCAAGAAAGGTTCTCTGCCAAAGGCGCATTTGATATCTGAGGCTTGGTTCACACATGCACATTTCTCCTGTGCCTTCCTAGGTCTTCAGAGAAAAGTCTGACAAGGGGCCCTGTCCAATTGTCCATTAAATAGAAGCCACTAGCCAGAGATGCTAATCTGGGGATTAAAGATCCACTCAACTGTCCCTGCTTCACAACTTGCTTGTTTATACCACTCACACACAAGCTGTTTACTCTTGCAGTCTGGGAGCTTTCTGCCAGTGCACTAATCAATGAAAACATGTTGCTTGAGGAATTACACGTAGTTCAAGTAAGATGTTGTGATGTGGCTATCATCCCATGGCCTCTTTGTCATGTACTACGCTGGGGATTTTTTTTCCTTGTGCTCACCTATTCTTTTTTTATCAGGCAGCCCGTTACTTGGAAAGTGGAGAGTGTTTCAGTATTGTAATGGTCTTAAGCTCTTAACTCTGGGCTGCTGTTTGCCAGAGCAGGGAGGGAGGTAAACAGGACATGCTTCTATTGATTGTGTGCTGAGTTTCTGAAGGAGTGAGATCTTTCCCACTGTGTACATGTACATTATGTTTAGTGATTTGTACAGTTACGAGATGGTTAGGAGTTGAAACGGTGCAGAATATCACTCTTATGGGAATTCTGTTGCGAAGTGGATGTGAGTATACATGTAGTTAAACTAGGACTACTACTGGCATGTTTTTAGTGGAAATTGTGTTTGGCAAAATTTATGGCCATGTAAAAGGTGAGACCGACAGGGGGGAAGAAAGGTCAGACATTGGAACAGCAGGTCGAATGGCAAATGCCTTGAGGTACATGTGCTTTATTTTGATCAAGTCCCACACAGAGCACAGTAGCCCCAAGCACTTTTTGAATGTGGAAAAAAAAACAGGGATGGTGAATTGTCCGCCGAACGCACTTTTTGAAGAAATCTGACAGGTGAAGTGGTTGGACAGTGAGCATTTGTGCATGTGCACATCAGCATGCAGATAAGGTTATGCCACTACATGTACATGTATAGAGTCCACTTCTGTACCATACATGTACATGTACATGTACACATCATTACCAATTAGGATATGGTTCGTGTCTCCCAACCGTTCTCGGTTTCTGTCTCATCTCTTGCGGCCCTCATTGACCGGTCAAGCTCGCAGGCTGTATAACATGTTGACCATGCATGTGCCTAGTCCTAGGAAGCCTGTGCATTCTTGCCATTCTTGCGGCATTTCCAGACAGGTCAGTTCTAAAACCAGCTAAGCAGTTTTCGCTTCCCCAACTCTGATTTGACGTTTTGTCAATTCCTCTCCACACACCATTGATAGATTCTCATTTGTCCTGATTCCCCCCCCCCCACAGATTTCACCCCAGAAAAAACAGTCATCCAGCAAAAACAGAATTTAGCTTGACACATGTTTGACTAATTCCCCGGTGACTTCAGACTGGAAAACCTCAGCAGTGTTCAGATTTTTTATTTTTTAATTTTTGTTGAAGGTGATAATTCATGCTTGCGCATGCCTTTTGATAGTACCCACCTACCTTCCCTTCTGGGCTTTACCCCCAGCTGCTTGCTACCTGTCCCTGCCCTTCTGACTTCACAAGACTATCTGGCCAATGCAAACATCAGAAGGGACTGGGACAATTAAAGAAAGCACGACCCCTGCAAGTTTTTCCTTTTTTTCCTTTGGGTTAACTCCCATGGGGTGACAAATGGGCCTCGGGGCACCACTTTGGGGAATTTTTTTTGTCTGGTATTTGGTGTGAATTTTTATTGAGGAATTGGGAACTTGTTTTGCTTGGAGGATTGTTGGTACCGTGTTTAGCTTTGTTGCATGCCGGGTTCTTTCAGGTTTTATTTCACGGCGATGCCGAAGAATGATGAGGCGTGAAATTTGACTGAAGGTAGCTCGATGCATTTGTTTCTGCATGAGATAAGATGTGCCATAGTACCACACCAGGGTCTGAATGGGCCTGTTAAACGGACGGGTTCAAAAGGAGGTTACATCTGGCATTGCCACATACACCAGTAACTTAAATGGATTCTTATGCAATACATTGGCAAAGTTTCAACATCAGTGAGCCTTTCTTTTCTTAATACGAACACAAGTACAACCGCATGACTCTTTCATAGAAATCTAGCTTTCTTTCATTTTCATTAGTACATCAGTGCACATTGAAGAAGATCAGCCAGTTCAAGGCAAGTGTTAGCGTGTTGGTCGTCCATAAATATTTAAAACTAAAAGCGAGGAAAGAAGTTGTAAAGTGTACGCCACAATGTACTGCACAGGAAGAATGAAATTGTTACAAACCTCATAACACACTGGAGGTATATGCCCATTTGTACATGTAGGCCTACATCATGTATCGTTAAATGATAGGAAAGCAAATGGCTTTGAAAATAAATTTCGATACGTAATGTAGAAAATGCTTTCAAATTTTTCTTGCAGATTACAGCTTTTATTTCTAGACTGAAACATTGTCATGTGCAGTTGTTACCTGTAGCATTCAGGCATGCCCGGACCTTAGACTACACTCTTTTGAGTTATGAACCTCTCTTGTTGTCCATCATTGGTTTATTTACCTCATGCGTTTAAAGTGTCGCTCTGCCTGTTGCAATGATTATTTTCAGGTGCATATTTCAGCCCGGAGACAGAGTGTAAATCTTCCCTGAATGGTTTATAGTGTCTGGATTTGGCGGCTGCATTTTTACAATATTTTGTGATCTGGATGGCATCCAAAATGAACCTCTCTCGGCATTCGCAGGGTTACCTGCTAAAACAAGCCAATGGGCCGTCTGCGGTTGTTTCTTTCAAAGACTTTTTCCTGTGGCGACTTTGCAGGTCATTTAAGGTCAGGGTCGAAGTTCACATTGTTTTTAACTGTCTGGGCAACCAGCATCTTTTCAAGTTGGGTTTGGAGGGGGGCATCCTGCAGGGGCACACACTGTGGGGTGCCATCCCCCACTTTTGTCACCTCATATTCCACTGTGTCTCTTGTGGTTTCTGTCTAATCCTTCCATGATCAAGGCAGGCAGTATTAGTCCACTTAATCCTACATTAATCCACCTGCCCTTGAGGCTCAGGCCAACCTGAAGGGTTGCCTTTGCAAAGTGGGAATTACTTCTGCCAATGCATCAACCGTAGGGAGAAAAAAAAGGGAGCATCACCATGGCCGACCGTGAGCCGAGTCAGTGTGTCGTCATGATGCGCTGTTTTGTCTACAAGAACCTTGGAATCCAAGCACAATGGCGCGCCGCCCATTCATTATGGATCTTCCTATTGAAATGTTAATTGTGCACTGTGCCGCATATTCACAGTGCCGTCTTGGGGTGATAACAAGCAAATGTCGGCCACGCTTGAAAAGGGGAATGGAATTGTTCTCATTTGGTGAACACTGCTGTGCCACTTAAGCAGTGTCAATATTTTGTTTTGGACTGTGCTCATCTGTCCTACATATGGATATTTCAATGCTTTGTGTACAGGTATTTGAAGCTACTTAAAATAAAATACAATTTTAATGTAATGTACCAAAATGGCCAGCTTGAATGAACGACCTGGTTTCAGCACTCATAGTTGACCTATGTGTACATGTAGCGTTACATGTATGCTTTCTCAAATTCTGAGAAAAGTGTGTCATTTTATATTTTAACCATTACTACAGTACTACAGTAAGTTAAAAGGTTTTTTTTTCACAGTAATTGCGTGATCCTGCTTGCACTCACATTGAGTTGGAGTTCAGCAGTAAAATGAAAGGAGTTAGGCTATAATTGCTCATTATTTGTTCATAAAATTGTGGGATATTAAATTTGACAACCACTTCCTCCAGGCACTTTTACATCGCTGAATATGAGAGGTGGCTTGCGCTGCAAATGTTGGTACTCTGTGCATGTTCGTGTACCAGTACCTAGCATGTGGATATTTGAGTGTACAGTGCACTGTGAAAAAGTATAAGGAAGACGTGCAGGTGGCAGTTTTGAACAGTGCCTTTGCGTCGTGTCGCAGCACATTGTACTTTTGAACGCACAAGCAAATATTGTCATCTTCAAATCTTGTCAAATCAAAATCAGCATCTTGTCAAATCAATTCAGACCTTTCAGACTGACGTGCTGTATTTCAATTTTTGTTTCCATTTTTTTTCCTCATGTCCAGAAGCGGATCAGACCTCCATCTTCGCCAAACCATGAAGCAGACGGACTACAGCAAGTCGCCCCCTTTGCAGGACCTGAGCCCGCCAGCCGTGAAATCGCCGTGCATCTACGACGTGGCCCCCTCGCCACCCCCGCAGCCCTACGAGAAATCGGGACACATATATGACACCAAGAAATCCCCAGACTACGACGTGCATCCCAGCCCCAAGGCTGCAGCAGGAGGCGTGACCAGAAGAATGAAAAAGTCAGAAACGTAAGTAGTTGATGCATTTTCATTTGCACTAGTGGATGCAAACTATTGTTTGTTTTTTTTTATTTCAAAAGTAAACAACCTTTGGCAGTGACTGTGAAGCCCCGAAGCCTTGGTGAATCTTTTGGAACCGGTTTAGACTTCTGAAGAAAAGTTCCTGTGGCACCACCATCAGCTTGAGAAATCATGTTTTGTAGGATTTGGCCTGAAGAGACACTTTCATTTTCCCATGCCCACCTTGAACGAATGGTGGACTTTTACAGACAACCAAAACCTTTTCGATTCATTGCATGCAGAGGCAAAACATCTAATGGCATGTTTCCAAAGACTCCTGAGACACATACCAGTTCATCAAAAGACTGGAAGAGATGCTAACATGTTTACTGAAACACCATATCATCTGATTCCAGTTATAAACTACGGTAACTAGACTGTGGAAAGAGAGTACTTTTAAATCCCACAGTCTTGAGCGCTTAAAATTCACACTAAACATTCGGTACAAATTACATCAAACAACTATGGGCCTATTGTGGATCACAGTCAAGACATGAATTTGGGCTGGTAAAAAATCGAAGGACCTTTCGACTCTTGGCCTTCATGGAGATATATGTCTGGGGGAATTTTGTGAGTTTTGCCATGTTTTGTTTGCCTTGTCGTGTTGTGGCAGTCTATTCAGGGTCCTGCTTTGTCAGAAGTACAAGACTCTTGAAAGAGCCGACCCCTTATTATTAGAGCTGTTCCGAGGCTCACTTGGGGTTATAACCATTAACCAGAGGGCGAGGAGAGGCCTGGCTTTAGAATGTTTGAAGCAACCTGGCTGAGTTCTGGGCAAATCCATTTCCCATGAGGAGTTCTCTTTAAAATCCCTCCTCCAAACGTGAACATGTTGACAGTGACTCGGCGAGAGTTTTCAGAAAGGTAAAGGAAAAAACTCGATGGGTCGGATTTGGCACCGGCCCACCTGCAACGCCATGGAGAGGAAGAAATGGACACACACTGGAGGAACGCTCTCATTCCAAGCCATAGTTGTCTTGTAATTGACAGGTCCAGGCAGCCACTTGTGAATTCCCCAGGTTCCATTTTATGGCTTCCCATTGATCCCTCTCTTATTTCTCCCAGGGATTAAACTGGAGCTGGTTATTGGTCTGATCAGGGCATTGAGAGTAAATTTAGGGCATGGAGAGGGCATGGCATGGGCACTTTTTTCACTTTGACAGTTTGTTAAGGTTTGGGCACCTTTTTTACGACCATTGATAAAGTTGCAGGAAATGAGTAGGATGAATGGAATCGAGCACATGAAATGAACCTTTAAACTGTGTACATGTAGGCCCTACAGACTATATGAAAACGGTGGCAGAAGGTGCTTACAGAAATTGAAGAAAAAAGTCCTGCACCTGTAAAGTCCTATACCTACAGGTGTACTTAGTGAACCTTTACAAATGATGCAAGTTTTGTCATGCAAGTCATCAAAGGTCTCCTCTGTATTAATCGGCATTTTTGTCCCATTGCCCCAAGCAGTGTACCTGTACATGTACAAACCTGTATACTCTGCCTTGAATTTCTGAATGACACACACACACACTTCACACTACATAATGCATGCCTGTTTCACAGCATGCAGATAGTTCCAGTTTGGAACAAAAACATCCACACTCATTCCACTCCACCAATGAGTGGTCCAGTGGACACATGCAACACACATGGTAAGTCTTTCTCTACGTGGCGAACGACAGACTCTCAAATTCATTTGAAACTCAACCCCCCCCCAAAGAAAATCTGTTTGCAACATGCAATGTGTATAGTAACATTTGACAGTACTGAAGTTTGATGATGAGATTGCTCAGTGTACGGTGCGCATGCAGACAGGCTGCACCAGGTGCCATATACAGGTACAAGTCTGTGCGAACAATAAGTGCGAGCCTGACCGATACTGTCATTGTCGGGCCCAGTTTCCCATCCCATTTTATACTTGTCCGTCTTTTCCCTGAAAGGTCATTATCCCGCATTTCCAGTGAAAAAAAGGGGTTTTATCACGAGCTTGATTGTGAAGAAAAGCTCACGATTGTAGTCAAGTTAGCTGAATTACATGTTTACGCGTAACTTTGACAAGGCTGTTCCCAGAAACAGGGCGCCCATTTTCGCGCCAAAAGCAATGTTGCAGGTTGTGGGAACATGCTGGGGAAAAAAGCATCAGCCGAGCCCGCATCGCACAGCACACAATGGACGGAGTACTCAACACTGCACAATGCCCTATGGCAACGACCTCTCTTGTACATGTACATAACACTTGGCTATGGTTATCACTAACTGTACGTCATCACTCAGATATGCCATTCCTTTCAGTCCCACGCCACTCACACACTCTGTATCACCGCTGTGTAGAGGCACTGGAACATGGACTGTACATTGACAATAGCAATGTAGCATAATACTGAGTGACTGCTTCACTGGTGGTACCGTATTGTGTGAGTAGAAGCTGGTACCTGTACACACATATCCATCTGTGCATAGGCCACACTGATGCTAACGCTTGTGTACAGTTGTGTCCTAATCCATAATTGAGTGCATGTTGGATGCTGCCGGCATAATGCTACAATTGTGAATGCCCTAGAGGTTGCAGTTCACACTGGATTTGCTTCTTGTCGAGGGTTTCTTCTCAAGTCGCTCACTGGTTTCTGGGGATTGATATTTCGTGAACTCATTGCAATTAGACTGTGTATGGGGATCGCATGTGGATGAGCCTTGGCGCGGTCATTTCGTTAAGTCAGTGGTAAGTACATGTACATGTATGTGCTTTTACAAATACTGTACATGTAGTACTTTGGAATAAGCTCATGTGCATTAAATAGAACTCCAAATTTTAACATGCTTTATTCCTCCACGATTGCCATCTGTCTGTGCAAGATTTTGTGCTGAAGACTGTCCCTCATTTTTTATGAGATTTTTATCAAATTCACTCAACTCAGAAAGATATATGCCATTGGAATTTGAAAAAAAAAATTGTTTACAAGCTGTCTTTTGTTAGTGCATGCAGTTTTACAACTCTGCTGTAGATAGAACATGCTGAAACCACATGTTAGCTGGCCCATACTCCAGTGTGTGTTCTAATGCCTCTATGGTATGCCTCACTAAGGTTAGCACAAAAAAGCTGTTATCAAACCTATCCAAGCATTGAGAGAGTTCAGTCAGAACTAGAAGTAGTTTATTGACTTGCATTTCAACCATGCATACATGTACATGTAGAACTGGTAATGGTAGGTAGAAGTTTTTTATGGGTTCTGCTCTTACAAATGTCAATAAATGACACTCATTTACTGATCTTAAAAATTCCTCACAGACAAGGTATTAAGTTCATGAGAAGTTGTACACAATCGTGCTCGAATAGTTTATTCCCAGTGTTGGCCAGGCACTACGTGTGTGGTTCCCTTTGTTAAGGAATAGGGTTGACATGTCAGGAATTGGCCCCACAGAAAACTACATGCCACGGTGAGTCAGTGGTGTTGGAATTGACTCCAGGGCAATAGCACCTCGACGCATTCTATTTCAATGCACCATCTCCAAAATAGTTGACTGCTTTACAGCAGGGACATAAAAGGGTGGTTTGCAGCTCTCCTTGGTCACATTGCTTCGTCTGTTCATGCGTTTGCATAACATGTGCGTGTTTAGTGTTGCCTGGTTTAGTCGTGAATTCAGTAAGCGCACACTTTTCATTGCTTAGCCTTGCCAATTTCCTGTTCCTCAGGATAGTTAGTTTGGCATATTTGAACTGTCAATGGATGAATGCTATTCATACACAAACCGAGAGGCATAGTTTAGTTCTAATGGGCTAAAGGTAACGGTAACACTGTTGGAGATCAATTGAAATTACTGGAAATTATTTGTACATTGCTTGTCATATTATCCTTCCTAGTTACTCTACAATTTCTAAATTAAAAAGGGTATTCTTACACTCTATGTAATACAATCTCTTCATACCCTATGTTTGCTATACCCTCCAAAGTGCTTCAGCATTTCACATGAGCATTTTGTGCAGTGAGATGAAATTACCTTTGTCCGTTTCCCTTGTTGTAGGGTTTTCCCCTTTTTTTGGTGAAGCTCTGAAGCGATCCTTCTTTCAAGTAGACTTACACTTTTTCTTTACGTTACTCCCTCAAAAATTCCCATTACTGATACAATTTTTTCCCCCCACAAGCTGTGGATCTTCTAAATTTATTTCATTGGTAACACTGTGGAAATGGGTTGTGAAGACTGTGATATGAATTTTAGCCTTGGTGGGTGTCATTGGCAAAAGTCAAGCTGGAGAGTGGTCATTTAATTTGACCCTCTCTGCTAACACACTCTATCATCACAGGAAGTAGGCTTGCATGCAGTGATCCATTATTATTTGGTGGTTTGCTTGGCATGCAGACGTGTGGTTAAGGATTTTTTCCGGAACCTCCAGTTTTTACAAGTTTTTCCATGTTTGGAGGGAGTTTGAAGGAGTTATTTCTGGATTTGCAAATCATTAGAAGCAGGCTGTGCAGATTTGAGACTGCGGAGTGTGCGGGAGAACTGATGGGAACGTCTTTCCAAAACACTAATTACCATGCATGTACAAACACTAATCTCCACCCTTGGAAATAATAGGCCTACTTGTACATCAGTTTGTTGAATTTTGTCACTGTCAGCGTTAAATTGTTTGGGTCCAGATGTACATGTACATGTAGGGCCTACACAGACTAGCATCACACAATGTGCAGTGTACATGTGTAGATTGCTTTGGTTGGTTCATTTATGGAGCAAAGAACACAGATTCAAAATGTAACCAATTCTTTTGAGTATGTCACATTTTAAGAACAGCTTCTTCCTACACTGTCCATGGCTCGCAGGAAGTCTTCATTGTTGCCTTTTTTTACTGGTGGCGACATTCGCTTTTCATTCTCATACTCTGCCCTCCTTCAATTTCTTCCATTTAATCTTCCATTTAACCACGTGTGCTTTTGTGTTACGTGACAATCACCTCCATGTACCTTGAAAAAAACCCCACAATTTTTGTTGCCGTCTTCCTCTTATTTAGTCGTGGAATATCAGTAGTCAGATACAGATTTTTTGTTTCTGTTTATACGGCAAAAGTTCCACAAGATTTGAACCCCATGGTGGGTGTGAATGTGGAAGTTCCGATGTTGCAGTTGAAAAGGGCACTAGGTCCCTCAGGTATGCATATAGCTGTCGCCAGCTGGCATGTTGCCATCACTGAAGTTGTCTCTATTATTTCAGCATGTGTCTCTGTGTACTTTGCTGAAGCCTCAGTCCCTGTAGATTTTAATCTGTTGTGAAGCCCAAAGTGGTAGCACAGAGGATTAGACTCAAAAGCAGCACAATGCAGTCATGGCCTTGTACTTAGTTGTGGGAATTTTGTTTTTCTTCTTTTTTTAATTTTATTTTTAAGAGTTTCTGGGCGTTTTGTCATGCACAATTATTGAACCTTGAAATAAGACAAGCTGGTGCCACCGCAACCCATGCCCACAATACTTCATCCAATTGGTACCGGAGAAACCACAATACCCCCACTTGGGTCTACATTTCAACATCTCGGTTCCCATGGAGCCAGCCTTGCCGGATTTCTGTGGTTTCCCTGTTTCTTCTGTTGTCTGAAATGGACACCCTTGTCTCTTCTTGGTGCCATTTTTAGCTGCCCAGCTGGCCTGGGTGATCTCTGACTGCCCATGAGAAGTATGCCTGGTATTTGTTGTCCACCATTTTTTTTTTTTCTGAAGTGCACTGTGGAGACCTTGTGGGTTACTGCATGAGTTATTGGTGTATATGGGACATTTCCTAAAACCTGTGGAAGCTCTCTCCCAAGCTTGTGCAGAGGGCTTAATAGTTTTAGGTTCAAAGTTCAGGAAGTTTTTTTAGGAGGCAGTCTGAACCAGATAATGGTATGGCCTGTCATTGTCTTTTGCCATCAAGGTTTGCCTAAGTAAAGAGTCTATTTTGAGACAGGAAATATTGTTTACTGTACTACTGAGTTCTACAGTGTAAGCCTTGAAGCTGCTGAGCACAGGAAATACATGTACGTGTACAATTAACCTCGTTGATAAGAGCACTGTTAAAATTACTAGATTCTGTTAAGACAAGGAAATTGTTAGGTCCCAATCCTTTGTTTTTCATTGATTTCATTCCTGATAATACAAGGTTCCTGTTATAACAAGGAAGTTTGCCAAGTCCAAAGGACCTCTTATTAACGAGGTTCGACTGTAGATGCTCAGCAAAAAACGTGGTTACCCACCAACAAGTCATGCGATGTGTTCTAAATGTGGCTGTCAGCCGTTGCAGGTGACATTCCATGGCATTTGTCCTGGTTCTGCATAACAAAGGCCCTAATAGCAAACGAACTTGTAAATCAGCCTTGTACTTCGTGTGTATTACATTTACGTGCATAAATGTGTGTAACCCCTTCAAGTAGTCATGCACACAGCCTTATGGGTTTATTTGCAATATTTGTCGGGTACATTGTGTTTCTGTGTTGTGTACATTATTGTTGTCCTTATCAGGTGGACTGTGACATGTACATGTAATAAATGCCTGTACCAGCCAAAAATTGGAAATGGTTGAAAAATTCTGACATCAGTGATCATTGAAACATGCTGTGTGTGATACCAGTATCATTTTGACTCTTGTGCACACCGGTATGTGTAAATAAAACAAGGCCCCAATTTATAAGGGGCAAATAAGTTACGGTCCAGATACTTGCTGAGCCATCCTGTTAGCAACAAACGCAAACATATTTATGCTGATCCTCTGAGAAAAGCTTGTGAAGTACAGCAATGCCCATATTCCAAGCTAAACCTTCATGAAAATTCTCCAAAACACGAAACACTCTCAGAAATGACAGAGCTGAACACTTCCTAGTTTGGTCATTCAGTGCTTATTAGATTTTTTTTCTCCCTTTTCCTGCAGAGCCAAACAGCCAAGACCCAAGTCATGGCACACAGCTGATGGCAGCGAGACATGGGAAGATCCTGGCTTCAGGACGTCCCCCAAGCCTGTAGCCCAAACCCTGCCCCAGCCAGCCCCACAACAGGCCCCTCACCTGCATTCACCGAGACTGGACCCCATGGAGAAGCTGACTGTGATTGAGACGTTCCACAAGAGGCCACTGCCTCACAGCAACACCCACTCCATGATCAATCTGCATGATTTCAAGGATGAGGCAGAGCCGGGTCATGGATTTGTCAAGAGGAGGGTCTCGGAGTACATATACTCCAGCAATCAAGAGCTCAGCAGCAGCCGCAAGGACAAAGACTTTTATTTTGTCTGCAGTGATAAGAGAGAGTCTCTTACACCCTTCAATCCCAAATTCAGGGATGTGAACTTGCAGCCAGCTGAAACGTACCCCAAAGTTGCCATGGCAACACAGATAAAATCAGCACAACAGAAAGCATATATTGGCCGCGTGCCAGGAACTCAGACTCCTCCCGAGTCCCAGCCCCACACCTGCAGCTCTTCACAAGTCGTTAGCTACTCCACGGTACAGATGCCGGAGCGCCATTATGCAAGCACGATGAAGCTGACTGGCAAGTATTGCGATGAGAACACCCTCCCCCATCAGCAGAAACCAGAGCCCCAGGTATCTCCCACATCAGGGCATCTTGTGTACCGAGCCACTCCCAGAATGTCACCATCGCCAACCTTCAGTGACAAACGAGAGCCACCAACACCCCCTCAACGCGGGGATTCACGGAACCGGACTCAACAGATGAGTGAACAAAGAAAGCGCCCCTCATGGCCATTACATGCCCATAAAATGCAGGACAACAGTGGCAGGCCAAGTTCCATCACTTTAGAGGCTCCCCCAGTAAAGCTCAGCCCTCAGCAGGATCAACCAAGACCCAGTCTCATAACAGGAGAGCCAGAACTCTTATACACTTATAGTGGTGAACCCCATCCAGATATTCCAACCTCAACCTCCTCAGTGTCACAAGGAGAGCTAGAAACTGTTGGATCAAATACATTCCCTGGAATGAACAGGAACCGTGACAAAGTGGACTACTTGTACACTGCAGTGCCCTTGTATGTGGATCCTGGATCAGATGATCCTGAAACGGGGATCAACTCTTTCTTCCCCAGCTCAAGTCCCCAGAATGTACCAGAGAAGCAGTCCAGTTTGGAGAATCAGCCACGCGGTTCTCCTCCAACAAGAGACAGTGTTGATAGAATAACTGTGGATTCTGATCCCCTTGTAGCTGCTTTGGAGTCATACATGCGAACAGCCGTAGACCACGAAGAGCAACTGCACGGAGTTAATCCAGAGGACTCTTCAACAGGGTCAGAATCACCTGTTCACCATCCCCGCTCTGTGTCCCATGGTGATCATAACAGGCCCCAATGCCAGACTCAACCCATGTCCATCACAAGGAATGAAGGGGAGAAACGGCTGAGCAGGACTTCACTTTCCTCCCTGGATTCCCACTCCAGCAGTGGCCACCGGGTTAAGTCACCCACCAGCCGTTTGTCATCCGATGAGGAGGAGCAGAACAGGAAAAACAGCCAACTCGGGAACGCGAACCAGCGCACCTGGAAGAATCCCAACGATTTCTCCAGCAAGAAGGCGGAGATTGACACCGAGAAGCACTGGCAGGACATTGTTCGATTAGCTAACCCCAACTGGGGCGATAAATACCAGCAATCTGACCTATCCACCAACTCCAAAAGTGAGGGGCATGTGAGAACTTCCAGTCAGATTGATGAGAAGCTCATCCGGGGAAATGCACCTGGAATACGCTCCCCAATCAGCCCACTTATGATGGAGGCTGTCACCACAATTGAACCCTCAAAGCCGGAAACAATAATCGAAACACAGCAGAAGGAAATCAAATTTCTGAAGGCCGAGGGGAGAGATAGTGGGTATGAAGTTGATTCAGAAAACCCCTTTCGGTCCCAGCAGGAGTCTCCTGTCCCACATGTGACCGATACCTTCTCGTCAGATGACTGGATGAAGATGGGCAATATGGAGTCAACAGGAGGCACCTCAATCCTTTCCCAGCTACAGAAGGAGACCCCCTACAGTCAGCACTACATGAATGGTGAGCCTATCGTGAAACCTACGGCAAACCAAAAAACTGCAAATGAAAGTAGCCGACAGAAGGTTGCTAGATCAGAGGCAAGCATCACCCAGACACGGAACTCAAGACCCCAGCCTGTTTGTCCGCCAAAAAGCAGAGATGATTTCTTCAAGGATGTAAAAGGTCCCACCGGTCAGGTTGTCAAGGATGAGAGAAGTGTGTGTGGGAGCCAACCGCAGCTTAGCAGGCCAGGAGGGAGTGACTCATCAAGTCGTCACTACCACAGCAGCTCTCTTGACCTAGACACCAAAGCTACCGGTGCCCAGCTCCTCGCCCAACCTAGCTTCCCTCCATGGAAACCAGAGTCGAGCAACGACTCTAGCTCTGTTTTTCACACAAGAAGCCATTCCTACAGCGGAGGGGGCTACCCAAGCTATTCGGGACCATCTGAACCTCGCTTCAGTCGGATTGATGAAGAACAAGGCGTAGAGTCATCTGAGTCTGTGCCCAGTTCACAGTCAACTAACAGACCAGACCGCCGATCAGCTGGCGGGCCTTTGAATAGGTCACATGGAAGCTATGACGGTGAAGGCAGAAGTCACAGACGCGGTGATTCTGATCCAAATAGTGGACCCTTCCCAGTTCGCAAAACATCAGTTGAGTCTAAGGGGAAAGCGGACTCGGATTATCGGCATGGGTACTCCAAGTCAGACTCTGAGCGACATCGCAAGAGTTCTGCAACTGACCAGTGGCACAAGAATTCAGACCCGAGTGGTGCCATCAGCAAGCCGCACAGAGTATCAGATTCCCATGAAAACATCAGAGAAGTTTTAGGCAAATATGTGGAGACCAAGCGAAATCTTCTGCGCTCAGATGGGACTGTTTTTGGCTCCAATCAGGGCAGTCTCTCTGGGTATGGATCCATGGCATCTCTAGACCAATCCTCGCGTTTCTCTTCAACAACATCACTGTACGGGAAGCCAGGTTGGAGCATGGACAGTGTCGATCACTCACGACAGTCGTCATACTCCAGCCAGGCCTCTCATGCTCATCGAGACTCAGGAATTGTGTCCCCATCTGAGTCCTCGTGGGGTCCACCATCCCCCAACACGTCCCCTCCTGGTGCAATGGACCACAGACCCCGCAATCAGCAGAGGGTGCTGGACCACCACCACCAGCGCGCTGCCAGTGATAGCACCCATCGGACTGAAAGAGTCCGTGACACCAACAGCCTGGGGAGAAGCTCGCTCTCAATGTCGGACGAGTACCGGCCAACAAAAAAGGTGAGCCGTTCCAACTCCATGATCCACTCGAGCAGGGTGAGGCCGCAAGTTACCATGACCCTCGGGATGGATTTAGGAGCCGTGACGACTCAAGCAAGGGCCTGAGCCGCACTGAGACATTCTCCATAGGCCAGGGACGCAGCGGCGCTCCAACGAGACGCAGCCTGGGGCCTTCAGCCACTTTGCCAGCAGGCGGTTTCCACAGCAGCAATGCCAAACCTTACTTCCCATCACATCCCATCAGAGCAGAGCCCTGCTTTGTCCGGAGCCCGCTTTCGTTGGAGCCTGGGAATGCTGACGATGTGCCCCCGGCGCTACCCCCAAAGCAGGTGACATACAAATCTTCAGCTTCATCTTACCAGGTGGCCTTGGTTTGCACTTTCTTTTTAATGAAATTTGTAGTTTGGCTGAACGTTCCCTCAGTATTAGTAGTACAGTGTCAGATTTGAGGTTCAGCGAATTTAGATGAAAAAAAAAGCATTTCTAAGAGAGTTGTACTTCTGCCAAAAATTGTGGCCTTTCAAATGTAGATTCAAAAGGTCTTGCCACACAAGTCTGAATATTTGCATTTTGGAAGTGTTAAAGAATGAGATAAAGGCATTCTTTTTCTTGGCCTGGGCAGCCCAAAAAAATGTCACTGTAAATCTTCACCTGAGAATCAGCCACAGACAAAAACTGATCAAATCTGTTCTAAACTTAAGACAATTTCCCGGCTTAGCAGCTTCCCGAAACTAATCCCTTCTTGCTTTCTTTACTGTCCTTTTGTTTTGTTTTTCACTGAACAAAAATAGCATTACTTTAACTTTCTTTTTCCTGCCAGGACAGATGCAGTGTTTATTTATGCTTTTCACCTGTTTCTATTGTACATGCAGCACTCTGCTTATCTTTTCCCTGGGATTGTTTGGAAATTCTAAACTTGAATGGGCTATTACATTCCTGAACATAAAAAGTTGCTTATACTAACCTCAACCAGCAGAAGTCACCCGCTCATGGTTTTGCTGTTGGTCTAGTGTGCAGTGTCCCTGGCAAAATGGCCCAGAAGGTTGCACATTTGAGATTCTGTGGGGAAAATGTAAAACCGCTGGTTGAATTTGGTGGTATAAACATTTCTGAAGAATTGACAGTTACCAAGAATATGCATGTACATATGCATTACAGAAATGCCCGACTGGTTTTATGCAGCTCTGTGGAGGCTCCTAAAATTTATTGGAGAGCGCCCTCAGTTAGAAATAAATACTTCAACTCTATTTGGTTTGATGTGCATCAGTAATGTTAGTTAACCACGGATGGCACAAGTTAACTAACATGATGTTGACTTTAACTGACCACGATTATTTACCAAAGAGGCCTGTTTTCATCAGTTATTCGTCCCCCTTGTTTCCTCTCCCCCTCCCCCGCCAGATCAAGGAGGCCCATCTGAAGACGATAGCCAAGGTTGAGTCCAGACTCCCCAAGGAGGATGAGGAGGCAGGGCACCAGATTCCTGACAAGGAACGGGAGAGGAAGGCCTCTGGGCCGGGGCAGTCCGTCTTCAACTTCCCCTCGCCAACGCACGGGGAGCAGCACAGGTAAGACGATTTTTAGCTGGGATGAACATCCCTTGGCAGAGTTGCAATTTTTCACTTCACTCACCTGGCTGGGCAAGTTCTTCCAGAGATGTAAGATTCAGTGTCGATAGTTGATTAGAAGGGCACGAAACTATTGGGCCATTTCTGGACTTGAGTTCCCCCCTGCAGAAGTCTTTACCTGGGACCATTGTAACCGTGAGTGTAGCCGTAGAGAATTCCAATTGAAGTCAAAGAGGTACAATGTAATATAAAAAAAGTGGCTTGCCAGATGTTCAAATGTGACATGCAGAAATGGAATGGAAACTAGTACATTTTTTAGGAAGGGAAGGGTGGAGATAGGTATAAGGCCACTGATACATAATGATCTGTGGTGTTTCACTAGAGACCTGTATAGTATGCAGACAAAACTGGCCAAAAATTGAGAGACCAGTAATTTCTAAAACAAAAAATGGATCAAAGTTCCACTGATTTAGTGTAACAAGAAGCGGCAGCAATAGACCACACATTCCTAAGGCCTATCGTATTTATGATTTCTCGTCATCAAAACCAGTTTCAAATTTCCGGGTCCAAAATGCCCCCAGGAAGTGGGTCTTGAGAATGACTCCCCAGAACAGATACAGTCAGTCTTGCATATCTGTGGTATAGAAAGGGCGCCCTCTGTTGAAATTTCTCCTCTCAAGTGCTTCATGTGCACAGGGAGAAAAAGTTAGGCCAGGTGCCTTGCAGTTGTAAATCAGTCGTTGGGCTCCTGAAATCCATGCACGCATAGATATGCAAATGTCAGCCACATTTAATGGAAACTGTCAATCATGAAAGCATCAATCGGTAGATCTTTGTGGCAAGTAACAACCAGCAGAGAGTCAGTGCATGGCGTCGTGTGCTGATTGGGAGCCAGTGTTGTCCAAATGTACCCAACAGCTTTTCCCCCCGGGGCCAATTTCATTGAGCTGCTTAAGCACAAAATTTGCTCAGGCGTAAAAAAACCTTGCTTGACAAATCAGGTTACCAGCCAAAATTTATGTGATATGTATATTGGTTTGGAATGGTACTCACCTGTCTTTTGATTAGCATGACAGTCACATAGATTTTGAGCTGGTAATCTTTGTTTTTAAGCAATTTTTTTTTTGTTCTTAAGCAAATTTTGTGCTTAATCAGCTCTATGAAATAGGCTTCTTCAGATTTATAGAGCACATGTTGTTCAGTGCTGCCATTGGTTTTTGCATAAGTGTCAAGATAGGGGAAGTTGGGAATATACATGTGTAAATGCTATGCCTTTGATTTTAGGGCATACATGTAATCATGTGTCAGACAGCATTGCACAAACCCTTACAAATTGCCTCTTGTAGTGCACTGTATTTGCTTCTAAGGACAAGTTCTTGCACAAACAATAGTTTGACAAGCAGTTGATTTCTTTTGAACAATGCGCATAACCGAATCTAGTGGGTCAATTGTTTTTAAATCTCATTGTTACATTTCACCGTTGGCTGCAATTCTAACAGTGTGCCTGGTCATTGAAATCCGGTACGGTTATTTCATTTAAATGGTTCCCTCAGTGTTGTTAAGTGAAATGGGCTATTGATAACCAGCGCTGTGACCATATCCCTGGGCCTGGCCCCAAACGGTGGACTAGATAGTCCAAACCATCCATCGTTAGGCGGTGTTATTCAAACTATAGTTAACTATAGTCGTCATTTGAACTTGTCCTAAGTTTACATATCAAATGCCTCATCAGCAAGGTCTCTGGATTAATTTTGTAGATCTTTTGGGGCCTACCTCCCACATGTATTAGGTCAGAAATGCACTCACTGTAGCTCAGTAGGAAATCTGGAGGCTAATAATGCATGTGTTGATTCATTGAGCATTTGAATGAGATTACTGACTGACTTCCTGTGCATCTGTTTAGGGGATAGACTGTCCAATTTATACCTGGCTGACACACCTATAATAAGCACCCTTTTAATAGCATTCCCCATAATAGGTTAAACCTGTCACAGATCAGATGACTCAATTGGGATTCCCCTCATCTGGCTGGCCAGAAGACCCAATTAATTATGCAAATGAGACACGTGCCAGTGACAGTGGGCCTTGTTTGTAGTTTCCAAATACCTGTCCCACAGGCAACAATATGGGGCTTCTAGGCAACTAGTGATTCATAGGCGTGGTTGCGCTGTCATGGTTCATTGCTTGTGGTATTGATAGCGATTTGCAAACTGGGCATTCAGCTGAACTGTGTAAGTGCATGACTCATATTGGGTTTGCATGCGTGGAGATTGTCTGTGAATTGTGTACAAATTATAAGGTAGAAACATGATTCATAGGATGAAGCTAATGTACTTGTACCCAGACTGATTGTGTGGAACACCTACCGCATCAGAATGATTGTAACCAAATCTTCCTGCAATGAAGTGTGCCGTTGTGTGATTCCAAGCGGTCCATTCAAGGTGCAAAATGCTGTGTGAATATTCAAGAGAGTTTTTTTGTAATTATGAAGCAATAGCATGCATAAAAAATGAAGTGGGTTTTTTTTTATAAAACTTTACCAGTACATGTTATTATTGGTATCATGCGTGAGTGACTTCTGAATATGCATTAAGTGAATGACTCATAAGCATTCCATCGCTGTACCATTCAAGGACATAATTATTGTACACAGAGTGTGTTCATCACATGCACATGTACTTAATCCACTCTAACTGAAAGCAATTAGGTTGACTGAACATCCTGGCTGACCAAGCACATAAACATATTGGTATTCATTGCCCTGGCTTCTACATGTACCTGTCATCTCTTTTCTTGGAAGCCCCTCCGTGATTGGCTGGGGCACTAATTGAACGAGAGGTCAAGTGAGAGCGTTTGCTTCCCCCTGCAAAGTGTCTGTCTGTTTGTATACATATCATATACACATATATTCAACACCATAAGCTGTGTGGCGTATGGGCCTGCCGCAGTCAAGGTCCGTGCTCTGTGCTTATCCAGGGTGTAATTATATGTACTACAGTGTGCGTGTCATTTCTGTTCGAACGTGGACCTGGGAGTAGGAAAGGTGAGATGTACACATACACGCATACAGCAACATCAAAACTGGACTAGCAGCATTTGGTCCGGTTAGACTTGATCCAGATTAAATTGATTTTAATTGAAATCAATACTTTGGTGTTTCTATGCGTATGTCCTGTGGGGGCACACAATGCAGTTGTTGATTGCTTTGTGTTCTGTTTGATCGATTGTTACATCAGCAAGTGAGTCAATTGAAATTCACCGGGAATAAACATAGTATTGATGTTGCAGTACAGTTTTGTGATCACTGAGTGTCAAATTTCATCAACAGATACCCGTCTCCAAAGACGTCCCCAACGTCAGCAACCAAGGAGCCATCGCCGTCAGCTCAAGTCACCTCAAGACCAAGAACAAGGACCTCCCCTCCCCTGCCTTCCAATAATAAGGACATATCGCCGACCCGTCCGGTTAGTGCCGGGTCGAGAACAAAGTCCACACCAGATTTAGCTGAGACCACCGAGAGGTCACCGTCTCATCCAGCCAGCACAAGACCAAGGACTAGAGCCTCTCCTCCCCTGACTTCCACCAAGGGAACATCCCCTACTCACCAGGGGAGACCTAGGACCAGGACTTCCCCACTGCTCCCTACCGGCAACGAGGCATCTCTAACTCATCCAGGGGGTCCGAGGACTAGAATCTCCCCACCCCCGGCCGCCAGCGAGAAGTCCCTGACACACCCAGCAGGTCTGGCAACCAGGACCTCCCCTTCCCTGACTACCAGCAAAGAGACGTCCCCGGCCTATCAGGTCCCAGCCAGTCCACGGCCAAGGGCTGAGAGCTTCGACTTGCCCCCTCCTCCAACACCTCCCGCCGTGCCAGTCATCGAGGACTTGGAGCAGATTGGGGAACTTCCGCCACCCCCTCCAGAGGTACTTGGAGAATACCCTATCTGTCAGGAGGAGGACAAGCACGTGGTTGAAGAGCAAATAACTAGGAGGTAAGTTTGCATTTCTTCTTTGGTCAAGTTTTTTTTTGGGGGGGTGAGATTGAAACAGAGTGAACAAAATAGTTAAGAGCCATATATCAGGTTTGAATCTGTCTCATCTCTTGTCCAGTTCATATTTAAGAGAACTGAAGGAACTCTTTGTCACTCTGACTGTTCATTTCAAATTAATTCTGTCTGCTTGGGAGGTGTTTCGTAGATTTTTCCACATGTTATCGAATGTAGCTTTAAAGTTATGTGCACCAAAAAAGTGTGGCACAAGCTTGCCGTAGCCGAAAAAAAGCATCAGCCTCTGATTTCATAGAGATGGAGCAGAGTCGGCGTATTACCCTACAAAAGCGGTTGATCATCACAAGGAAATCAGCCAACTTGTCAAAAGTAGCAGCACACTACTGTGATATTTAATGGAAGCCTGATTATTAGTCAGCAGAAATGCTATACTAATTTGAGTTTCCTTCTGAGCTACTAGATTCGGCTAAGGTGGGGTGATTGAATGTCCCCCTCTCCCAAAAAAGGAATGTGGTATTTTGAGCCTCAAGCAGGGTGTCCATCAGAGATGAGAGCATTTGGTCAGTCCGCATGTTTTGGCAAGCCCTACCTTTTTCCCCCACTGGAGCTTCCGATCCCCTTCCAGCCCACCCAGCGTCCTGCTCGGCCTTTATGGCCGAGCCGTTGGGAGTGCACTGCTTGGGAGACCCCTGACCCCAGCGTTTGATGTTCCCCAACGTTGTGGCTCAGGTATTAACCTTGGGTCCCCTAAGGCTCTGTAAATCTATCCAGTGATCACAGGGGTTGGTAAGGGAAATCTCAGGTGTGCTGTTTGCTTCTCTCATTAGTTCGCCATTGGCAGGCTGGGGCATGTACTGGTAAAAATATATACATTTACTGTTGTTGTGGGCAATTTGGAAATTTTAGGGGTACCCAGGAGATGCTTGAAGGTTAAAAGAGGGGGTTTGTTTTATGGGGGTGGGGATGGAGATATAACAAACTGTAGTGATAAGAAAACTCCTTGAAAATCTTTAACTGCTTGGGAAGCAGAGAGTGAAAAAAATCCTTGAAAAGGGTCAGACTGTTTTTCGTGAGCAGTTTCTAGCCAGTAGTTTCAACGGGACGATTTCCTCAACAAAGAAAGCCAGTTTCCCGTGGAAAAGGGAAGTTGTACGTGTATGCCTATGTCACCAAGCCTGTTTAATTCTTTGAGTTTTCAAATGGGATAAACATCAAGACAAGACTAACAGTGGTGACCAAGCTTGACAGTGAAAGCAGAACCCCACTATTGTTTGGTGTTATATTTCATCATGTACATGTGCATGTAGCAACACATTACAGTAAACGGTTAATACATTGTGAGACTTCATGATGAATTCCAAACATGAAACAGCTGTAAGATTTATAACTCCACAGTCAGACAAACCTTTAAAAGTCTACGGTCAAATACCCAGTCGTAGCTCTTGTTCTATTTGCAGCCAGTCAATGTCAAAAGCTCACATTTGTGCCTTGAAAAAGGCTGAGGAATTTCTTGGAAGATGGATTAGACTAGAGAGGCATAGTTTTAGGGATTAACTAGACGAAGTTGTGACTACTGCACATTTTCCTCATGTTTGTGGCACCTGCTTTCCTGGTAAGCCGTCACTGGTAGCCATCCTCCTTGTCATTGGTATGTTTACAGTGTTTGAAAAGGATTATTATTGTGCTGTGATTGATGGCACTATCAGTGCACTAAGCGGAATGATACAACTGAATAAGGGCACATCTCTGTGTGGTCACACAGTTTTCCTTTACATACATACATTTGGGTGGGGTTCAGAAACCATGTTTACAAGCTGTAACTGTTGAAATTGAAACATGGCCTGAAGTTTCCCTTTGAAGACTTTATCTTTGGCAGCAAAGTGTCTCATAGATCTGTGTGATAGAGTGCTACCGGTAAATGTTAAACCTAACACCATAGGGTGTATGTAAAATCATATTGAAATTGAAGGATCGAGGACTGTTGGGGTTAGGCCTTTTTTTTTCCAGCAAGTCCTGCACTAAAAAGTGATTAACAAACAGGTTTTGTGAATTTTCACAAACAGGAAATGCATTTTTGGGAAACTTGAAATAAAGCCAAACCCAACTGCACATTCATATCAAATCTGCAGATGCCCTGGACGTGTTCATGGACGGCTGTGCTCTGATGCATCAGAAGTTAATAATGTGGACCAGCCCGCTTCCTTAATCTGTGGATTGGAATTGTGTTTGTTTCTATATATAGCTTGTGACAATAGACATTAGACATTGTATCGCAGCGGAATGTAAGCCATGATCCAAGTTTAGCCCGATTGTATGCTTTGGGCATTGTTATCTGGAAATGATGATCTCCATTCCAGTGGCCTGGAGTTCATTATCCTTGTTCTGCGGACTGGACAGTCAACATCCTTGATTGGTTCTCTGTTGCAAGTGAACTTTATATGTGGGTTAATAGCTGGTAATCATTTACAGACCTTGTTCCATTGTTTATTTTTGTGGTGATTGGTGACTGGAAATACAGGTGGTGTAATCCAGCGCTCAGAGAAAGACCGGGAAAGAGGTGGACTCTATGTACAAGCTGAAGCATAGTGGAACTTGGAAGAACTCCAAATTGTGCAATTTTGCAGAACTGCTAAACTGTGTGATAACAGATATTTTTGTCAAACTAAGTTTGGGGGATTGTCATAGTTATGAGATTTTGTAATTCTGATGTTTTTTTAGTTCTGTGAATTTGAAATTTAGATTTCTTCACTTTTTATTATTTGAGTAGTCTAGTTTAACTCTTTCAAACAATTTAGAGAAAAATGACCACCGATTTACAAAACATGCACATGCATCTGAATGTTTACAAAAATTTCTGTAAAATTTCCAATCCTGCATATTAGTTAATTTTTTTTCCTAAACGTTTTCCCATTTTTTCTTAGAAAATACTCTTTGGGTCCTTCCACTTAAGTGCTTTTTATTTGAACATGGAACACTTTTACAAAGCTTCTCTGTGACAAATTTCAGTTGAAGTTTCTGAAGAGATAATCCCAATGTTACACTGATTGCTTCTGAGAGCAGAAAAGAAGATGAAACACGCTGCGGTTCCAAGAAGTTTCCAGTGTTGGTGTGCGGTTGCTCAAGAAGAGTAACCTTGGGATGAAACACTTCAACAAGAAGCTTCCAAGAAGGAAGAACTATTGAAAAACAGAAGATGAGGAAAGCATTTTTTAGTCCAATTCAAAAGAGGAAGGACTCAGTTACAAAAGATGGAAGAGTTGATGTATTGTAAAAGTGGTGAAAGTGTACATGCACATGTGCACATGCTCTGAATCGTGTTTTGCATGAGAAAGCGAAAGCCACACAATCAGTGCTTTGCATTCCTGGACTGTTCTCATTCTGTGACTATAAATAGCACTCAGGGTCCAACCAAATGAAAATCTCACCTTTGTCCTAGTTCCAAGTACCTCCCTCCTAACAGAATGGTAGAGCCCAGTATTCCCCTCAAGACTGTTTGGCTACATGTCCTTTGCTGCTACTTTTTTCAGTAGGAATTTCTCTCCTGGCCAGGCTTGCGGGGTGTGTCTGTAAGACTCACGGAGTTTACCGAGTTGATGCTTCCATACCTTCTATTCTTTTCTCCCTACAAGTGTTGTGGCTGCCCCGACTGCCTGCAGGGCTGAAGTCTTTCAAGAATTTATTTTTTGTTTCCTGGTTGGGAAGAGAGAGTGATTGTATGCTTAGTGTCAGTCTGAAATAATGCAATCGGAAGAGGCGGGCCCATTGTCCTGTGGTCTGTGAGGCTCCATGTTGCGAGCAGGATCAGATACATGTACATGTACAGTAAGAAAAAACCCCACACAGGAAGACTTGTGAAGTTGTGGTTCTGGAGTTGACAGAGCAGGACCATTGATGCTGAGACTTGAGGCTGGAGAAAAGGACCTCCGCTATTGCAAGCAGTGTTCTTCAGAATCCTGTCTCGGCTGACTCGCTTTGTTGGAGCAAGTTTTCATCTCTCGGTCAGAGGATGCCAGGGCAGTGGCACCAAGGACAGACTGTGCATTGGAATGCCCGATTTTGTAATAAGGGCTGTCCAGATTGCTCAACCGCATGAGAGTGGGCTGTTGACTGGCAGGCGCCCAATAGATGCCACATTCAGGTGTGTTTACTTAAGGCTGGCAAAGGCACTATGAGATGTTGTGACTAAAATAACATTGTCTTATCCGGATTCTGATAAGATAATTTAGCACTGACAGGGATATGGGAGCAGTAAACAGATAACAATATCTGTTCAGGAGGAACATTGATTGACTTGAGTCAAGACTAGTGAATAGTAATTTCTCTGAGTCCAAGGGAATTGTGGTTTGCTGGAGAGCTCTTTATAGGAGATAACACTTTATGATCCTGTAATGACCCATCTACTTGTACTTTTGTATATAAACCTCCATCCTGTTTCATTGCTGTCAACATTCCTCCTACATGTACCTCATCAGAGGGGATATACCATAAATCCTTTGCATGATGTGGTATTTAAATGTCCGCTGGGAGGTGTCAACACTGCAGTAATGGGAGATAACAGCCCTGCTGTGAACATAAGCTGAGGAGGCCAGGTACTCTCCCTGCACCCTGCCGTGGGTAATGAGAACCTCTACCAGCTATCAGATATAGCCAACTACCAGACTATCCCGAAGGTGCATTTTCTAGACTGTAGAATCTCCATTTCCAGGGTGGGTTCTGAGCTCATGGTCTAGCGCCACGGTGAATGTTCAGGAATGTTTCTCAGTAATCGGGGAGGTATTTTTCTAAACTTCCAGCGGGGTATGTCACAGCGGCAAACCGATATCAGCGTCGGATAGTGAACTCTCATTGTGAATGATATAGTAACTCTTCGTCACTCGTGAATGTCCTGACTTGAACCATTGCGGGATGACCCAACACTCTTGTGCAGTCACACTGAGCAGTGGCAGATCAAATGTTTTAAGGACAGGGAACACATTCAGAAAATG